CGCAGATTCTGACTTTACCCATTAGTCGCTTGCTTCACTCATCGTTTAAGTGTTATTCTACCGAAAACCAGAAGATATTCACACTATACACTAATGAGAACTGTAACCTCTGCTCATATTTCAAAAGAAGAATGGATGCTTATCTTACTCGAGAAAAGCCTGATTGGAGTTACGTGGAGAAAAGCCTGAAATCCGAGCCTAAGGAAATCTTTGAGGTTAGTAGAGTTTTCGCTTTGGGTTGGGGTTTCGGGTTTATTTTCTTGTTTACCACGACTTTTTTTTTCAGAAGTACAAAAACGACGTTCCCGTGTTGGTTTTTGATGACATCGTACTGATCAAACATAAATTCAGTTCTGGTCGTCTGCAAGCGAGAATGTCCGATGTGTTTCCTAAAAAGTAGATATTATATTTGCTGCAGACGTTCCATTTTCCCTTGACAGCGTATAGTCTTTCTTGCGTAACACGCAGTTGTATAGTTACGAACCTCTTCGGGTTTTGTATAGAGTGTACAAAGTCTTTGTTTGTGTAATAAAGTGCCTTTTATTGTACTTTCAACTATGTGATGGGATGTATGGCTTTATGAACGGTAGCTCCAGTTGACAGCCGCAGAGAGCGAGATGTGCCTAATTCTGCAGTCTACCGTGCTTTCAATCTAACGTAGCCATTTGTCATTAAAAATTTGGCCACTATGTCAGCAATCCTTTACCGCACAGTGGTAAAACTTCTTAATTTCAATTAATTTCTAAACCTCTCTCTTTAGTTTGTTGAGCGTTTAAAAGTTTTGATTAGAACTGTTTGATTGCAAAATTATTCCAACTTATTTTACCTTAGAATTATGTGAACCGAATGAATTGTTACATGAAGCATGAGTAAACTTATAGGATAATTTCAAGAAAACAGTCTTTTTATTGCTTAGTGAAATGTTAATTTCGCTTTGCCCTCGGATTTCTTTGTATGCTTCGCAAACTCAAAGAAGATGTTGGTTGTTGGGAGTGAATGAATTTGCTTATGCTTCTGTGCTGAGCTACACACCGTGCGCATCTAGAATCAAGGCTGGCAATAAACGCCCGTAAAGGCAATTTTTTTGGCTGTCTGTATGCTTGCTATAACAAAAAGGAATTTCATTAGGTTTCAAATCTTTCAAGGCTACAAGAGAAAGAGAGTATCAACTATCTCAGCTCGATGACATTTTCGTGCAGTTTGAGCGCATGGGGTAAGATTTTGTTGAAGTTACAGATTAAA